TCAGTCCATGTTAACTCAGTGAATTAAAAATAATTAATTTTAATATCAGTCCAAGAAGAATAGACTCAGAAGGGTAAATGTGGTGGAGGTGAAAGGGAGGTGATTTATAGATAGTTACAAAATCACATTTGGTTTATCTATATTTCTTTATTTTCCAATCTTGCAAAATTGAATTATTCTTCAAAGTTATTTTAAATTTTATATAATGAAAAGCCACTTGAGAATAATCTACAGCTGTTTTAACAACCTCATATTACATATGGAAACTAAGATCTAAGTGAAAAGGTGACCTGGCCAAGGTCAGAAAATAAATCAGACATCTAAGCAGATGGGGAACCTCCTGACTATGAGTCCATTATTAGACCATCCTAAGAGTGGAACATGGGTGAGGACAAGAAAGGGAGTGAAATTGAGGTCACTTGGCATTATGAAAGCTGCCTGGGCTTCAAGAAGGGATGTAAAGATAGCAAGTTCTAGTCTCAGTGTCAAAAAGGCATTCTCTTCCCACACTGTAAATGAACTAGCTGCATCTTCTGTGCCACTGCAGTCAAACCTCCCTGCTAAAGAAACAATAAAAACAGCAACCCTGGCCTCCACTTGTCATTCTGCCTGACAAGGACATTATGAAATGCAATGCATGCTCCACAAACACCATGGAAGTCTGTGAACAAATAGAGAGCCCTTTGAAAGCAACCAAAAAATCTAACCTCCATGACTTACTGATGAGGAAACAGAGTCACAGAATTTAGGTGTCTCTCAACAGTTAATTAGTACTCAAACTGACACTAGTATTATGTGCCTTGAATATCTGTCTGGTGGTCTTTCAAGACCCTTTTCCATCACTCAGGAGACAGACTGGGTATTTGGTCTCTTTTTATTTATTTAAGTTTTGTAGGGATGAGGATAAGGAGAAAGACATTAGTCCTTGAAATTCTAATGTGCATATACTTTTATAGTTTATTCTGCCTGCCAGGCCTTTGGGCTGAAATTGTGTCTGGACAAGCCTCTGGAAATCTACCCCATATACGACCAACGTTGAAAACCAGAGACATATACACATTTCAGTTGTATTTTCATTGCTGGCATTGCAGGGCGCTAAGAATATTCCGGTGACTACTCTGCTTTTCTTTTTCCTCCATCAGAATTCATTTTGACTCATACGAAGATATCAGCCCCAAAGGATGCGAAAAGGGTCAGGCAATAAGACCTACAGGGAAAGACCACAGACATAGAAAGCAGGGCAGGTTCAGACCTGACTAGATTTGTGGCATCTGCTTATAAATCTGATGGAAAACAAGGCAGTCAAGTAGATTTTCAGCATTCCCTTAGTCCCCCTCCTCCTTCCTTGAACAAACCAAGCCTGTCGCTTCTAATACTCAGATAAGCAAGTCCTCCCCTCTAACTGGCTGGTAGCAGCACTAAATTGGGGGCCAGGCTGAAGGATGTCACTAAGCACTGAGACAAGGATTGACAGGGCCTGTCCCCATCTGGGTGCAGTCAGTCCCATCTGATTTTACAGGTACTTTGGAAAAGTTAATTCTAATAAAGAAACTAGGCATGGCTCCAACAAACAGTTGATCCTGATAGCTGATTATTATCAGAAAAGAAAGTGCTTAGAGTCATCTTCTCTAAACTCCAAATTATCATCTTGGGCAAATATTTTTCATCATTCAGTTGATAGCAAAGTATGAATATAACATAAATGGTACCTCCTTGAGTTGCATGACATAATACTCTGCACTTACCCAATAATATAATATCTGGTTAAATCATGCAACAACTGATTATAAGACAAAACCTAAGAATTTTGAAACTTTCAAAAGCAACCTGGCTTAAAATATGAGTATTACATGTGTATTATTGAGAATTTTCTATGGCCACTATGTACCTTTTGAAACATATGTTTTTCTTAACCTTTACCATCTGCTACAATTATATATATATATATATATATATAGTCATTTTAATTTAGATCAGTGTTCTAGAAATAGTACCATACATCTACATATTCTGTTACCTGACAACTTTAAGAGCCACTGTTAGTTACACAAAGCTGGGTCTGTTTACTATGGCTGAGTCTATCAAATGTTAACTTCTGTAGAAGAAAACATTAAAATGGGTTTTCTTTCACTGACAATTCTTGCCAGTAATTTAGTCCACAGAAGTACAGTAGTGTAGCCTATTTCCTAAAGACTCAGCCTTGGGAAGTGGTATTCACAGCATGTGTGATAAAGCATGTGTGATCACCGCACTGCCTGATTTCAGCTGGAGCTGTAGGGAGAGGAACGTAGTGGAGAAGGCCACGTGAGCTAAGAGGGTAAGAGTAAATTCACAAAAAGAATCTCAAGTCTAGGATGGATAGGAACTACTTCACTCCATCCCCATTTTCCTTTCCATATCCGGAGGTGAATGAACTCTAACCTACCTCCTCATTACTATTCTAGTTAGGAAACTCAGAGATATTATGAGAAGCTGAAAAATAAAATACTCATTTTTTCTTAAGCCTGGAAGAATCCCAAGATTTCATTAGCAAACTGAAAAGAGGGCTCATCTGCCCACTGACATGAAAGGCAAACTCAAGAGGCAGAAGCTGATGAGAATAGAAGTTTTTATCAGGTTCTGAATGCTCTGGGAGAATGAGGGACACCCTATCTCAAATCAAAGTTCATCTCCTCTGCAAACTGCAGCAAAACCCAGCCATTCTCAACAAGACAAAAACAAAAGGCAGGGCCCAGAGTCCCTGCTCCATTTTAAAGTACCCTCCTTTGGGGATGGCAGGCGGCTTCTAAGTGATCATCTGGGTGGCTTAGCTTGTCCCCAGCTGCTGTCCAGCTTCAGGCTCCCTTTTGGAGGCTGTGTGTGGAGCCTGAGCAGCCATGGCCATGTGGCTGCCAGGGCCACAAGATCACGTGCTCCCAGACGGAAAAACGCGTGAACTCATGGTGAATGCTTCACCTGGTGTGCAAGTGAGAGAAAGAGAGATTCCCTCCTGGAAGCCTTGTGACTGCTAAGGTCATGTGACCCATGGAGAGGACAGGCCAGTGCAGGTCCTGAATAGCAAGAGACAAGCAAGGGAGCATTTCAGTGTTCCACTGGAACTATATTTGTTTTGGGTGTGGGACAGGCCAGGTGCTTTCTCAGAATGAACTTCCCAAATTTTTGAACACTTCAGGTGAGCCCACCTCCCAACCAATCCCTCTTTCCCCAGGCTAGGCTGACAGGCCTCTTTGCTTTAGCACCTCCCCTGCCACCATGTTAACTTCTATGGCACAAGTACCTGCCTTGCCCTGGTCTCACCCCAATCTAGTACCAGAAAGGGGTAGAAGGGTTTTCCCCTCCATCTAATTATCTCACTAGGCTTACACATGTTAACTGTAAGAACTTTCCACTGCTGCCTTCTTGGCTGGGGGCAGGGACACTCCCCAGGCACTCCATCAACTCCTCGCCCTGTCCCGTGGTGCCACACCCTAGTCCCTGCACTCAGGGAGTTGCCAACAGTGTAGGATCACAGAAAGCAACCAAACCAAAGCCTAGGTAAAGGGACCCTGGAAACCCCAGCACAGCCTCTCAAGCTGATGGTGGCCTTAGCAGGAGGGGTGGGCATCTGCAGGCAGGAGTAGGACCTCTGCACGGGAGGCAAAGTGCCCACAAGGCTCATGCTGAGTTACTTGGGCAATGCAGCCTCACAGACCCACAGAAGTGCAACCTGGCTCAGCTGCACAGCCCCGCCCTCAGCAATCAAACCTGCAACCTCCATCCCTGAGGGGCATGGCTCAGTGCACAAGTGGCTCCCAGGCCCCATTCCCACCTGTAGCTCTATTTCCCCTGGCGGCCGCTCCTGTTCCCTGCCCTCAGCCTGTTCCCCACAGTCCAGACAGACTGTCTATTGTTATCAATTTCCCAGTCTATCTCAACCCTTCCTTTTCTAAAATAAAAAATATATAAAATAACTAAGGACACAGAGGTATGTGCCTGTTCTTTGCTCACAAAAAGAGTGCCAGGGCCTTGAACAGACTGCAGGTCCTGGACTCAGGACAGGACTCTTTCTCCTCTACACTGCTGTCTGTGCAATTAGCTGCTTCTGCTTTCCATTTCCCCAGTTAGAAACTGTGTCCAAGAAATGGTATGCTAGTAAGAGCACTGATCGCCCAACCTATGTACTCAGTACTTAATTAGCTTGCCTGTTATTATCTGTTTCTTCCCAACCAGAGAGTAATTTCCTTAAGAACACAGTCAGCTTCTTTAGGTCCTTTATGAGCAGAGAGCCAAGAAGCAGGCACAGAGCAGTAGCCACATCTGAAGTCAGATGGCATGTTGGGGAGCGGAGACCCCTCAGCCGAGATTGGTGGGGAAAGCAAAAATGAAGTGACCGAGTTAGAAGAAACAGCATGACGCCTTCATGAGAAGCAGACGTTGGGGACTGAGGCTATTTTCTTCATCACTGTATTCGCTCTTCATTGTCACATCCTTAGCACCTAGGGGGGCTAGCAGCTGGCCCATATCAAGATTCCTAAGCTTGTTCAATAAATAAATAGCTAAATTCACCCATAAAAAACAGCATTGGACCTGAAATACATTTTTATAGAAAAAATAACATAAAAATTAATTAGGTTTGAAGGAATAAACTGTAATGCTAAAAGTACAAGTGGGGATGGGGAGTCATTTTTAAGTGTTATCTGAGAAGTAGCAGGTACCCAGTTTCCTGCTCTGCGGGGAAACATTTTTAGTTCTATCACTGGGCAGGATGCTGTTTTTCTCTATAAAAGGAATATAAAGTTTTTACTACACATAGCAAGCAAAACATTGATCCCTCAGAGTGAAAACAGAACAATAAACCCATTAAAGAAAACCCAGGCATTGAAAGCTCAGTGTGGCAGGCAGATAATGCCCCACTGCCAAAGATGTCTGTTCAAAATATCCAGAACTATGAATATGTTCGATTTTAATAGTGCTCAACTAGCACCAGGGAATTAAGATTGCAGAGAGATTAATGAACTGACCTTAAAATAGGAAGGTTATCCTGGATTATTCATTGAGTCCAACATCACCACAAGGAGCCTGACATGTGGAAGAAGAAGGCAGAAGTGTTGGTGTGGAAGAAGACAGCATGTGGAAGGGGAGAAAGGCTTGAAGTGGCTTGAAGATGGAGGGAGGGAGTCGTGAACCAGGAATGTAAGTGCTGTCTGGAAGCTGGAAAAGGCGAAGGAACAGATTCTCCCGTATGGCCTCCCATATACACAGGTCCAAAAATATATTGAATGTGGATGGTAAAAAACAAATTTTTAAATAGTTGCTTTTCAAAATAAGTTCTCTGAAAATATCAATGCCATATTTTTTTTCTAAGGCCAATTTATTAGTGTCCAAAATCATTCTCATTGTTTAATAGTTAACAAAACCTGCTTTCAAATTCTCAATGTACAAATAAAAACCAGAGACAAAAGAATTATAATACAGTCATTTAAATACAAAGGTTGCCCTGACTGGTGTGGCACAGTGGGCTGGACATCGTTCCATACAGGGAAATGCCACCCGTTCGATTCCCAGTCAGGGCACGCGCCTGTGTTGTTGCAGGATCTGTCTGGGATCCAGCATAGGAGAGGCAACCCATCAATGTTTTCCTTTCTTTCTCCAGAAGGAACACAGACCTGCCTACCCATTTCAGACTTCTGACCTCCAGAACTGTAAGATAAAAATCTGTGTTGTTTGAAGTCACTAAGTTTGCAGGAATTTGTTAATGCAGCAATAGGAAAATAACATACTTGGGTTAAAACAAAACAGAGCTGCAGAACCATGTAACTCCCTGTGGAAGTTTGGGGCACCTGCTTATAGGAGCTGCTTGGGAGGGGCTGGGAGAAGCGGGAAAACCCAGCGTCTGCAGAGGAAAACTGAAATAGACAAAACTGAAATAGACGTGATGTTCAACTAACTTTGAGTGTGCGCATAATTAGAGAGCTAGTCATTGTTCTGGGCCCAGTGTACTGCCCCCAAATTCGTGGGTTGAAAGTCCTAGCTTCCAGTACTTCAGCATGCGACTTTATTTGGGAATTGAAAGGTAACAGAGGTAGTGGAAGTAACTAGGTCCTGAGGGTAGGCCTTAATCCAATACGATGGGGGTCCTTACAAAGCAGCTAAGTTAGAAGACAGACACAAACCATCTGAACACAAAGAGAGCCATCTACAAACCAAAGACAGAGGCCTGGGGCAGATCCTTCCCTCACAACCCTACCAAAACCTTGATGTGGGACTTCAGGCCTCCAGAACTGTGAGGTAATGAATTTCTGTTGTCTAAGCCACTCAGTTTGTAGTACTTTGTAGGGCAGCCCTAGCACACCAATGCAGGGACGAAGGCACTGAACCAAGTATCTGGTTTTCAACGAAGCAAATGCTTTGTCAGGTCGCCCTGAAAGACCCGGATGGCCCCTCGCTGGCTGTGAGTGGAGAGTCTGGGCTACTGAGGAGGGGAAACAAGACTGACCTCACAAAGCCCCGTTTCCAGCTGCAGTTCAGGGTGGGTGTGCTGCCCATCACAGCAGCCTTTGTTTCTACAACAACCAACGGCTCTTCCCAGGTAGTGGGAAGAAAGCTGGATGTGAAATATAGGAGAAACCACGATGGGGAAAGGATTCGTAACCGAAGGCAACCACAATCACAGAAATGAAAGGGAAAGAAAGTAACAAAAAGGGACTGAGGTTGAGGGACTGGTCATGAGAAAAGGGAAAAGAGAAAAGACAGATGAAGAGAAAACAAATTTGGTTAACAAGGAAGAGCATATCACACTGTCCAGTTTTTAAGCATCTCACTTAAATATCACGACTCTACAGATGAGAAAGCTGAAGCTGAGAGCAGTGAGCCCAAGGGCACACACCTGAATGACCCCATAGTCCTATGAGAAGCAATTCCGGCGCCCTACTGGTTTCTGCCTTCCCTCGCCCCGCTGCTCCCTCTCCAGGTATACACACAGGCCCCACGTCACTGGGCTTTCCTGCTGCTGCTGCTCTTGGTCAAAATCGCTGAGGCAAGTTTAGTCTCTTGTTATAAAAACATCGAAGGCAAAACCCACAAGATGCTTGTTACGAAGAAATAAATACAGATTCATTCACCTGGGGATTATTGTTTGTTCACATGAAATACAAACAGCTGCTCACAACCATCCCACTCTTCGCTTCCTCCCTCTTGTGCTTCCCTAAGGCCAAAGTCCACCCCTAGCGGCATCACCCCTTCCCCCCTCACCCACCTTTGTACCTCCAAACCTCCATTCACTACCGTGCCCCTCTTCCAGTCACTCTGGTTTCAGATGGAACTGGCCCAGCTAGAAAGAAAGAAAAAAATGACCGGTTTGGGTAGGGCAAGGTGTGCCAGCCTCAAGGAAATGCTTTTCAGTTCCTCCTGTGGGGCGTGGCTGCCTGCAAAGGATGGAGTTTGGGCGGGCTTCCCCACAAGAGAAGTCTGTGGGCACTGAGGTTTCCGGGGCTCACCACACACTAGCCAGCCGGAAACCTCTGCTGCGGCTGTGAAAGCTGGACTCGTTGCTCCTCTACTACTCTTTCCCTTCCCCGGGGATTGATTGGTAGATGATCGGGTATACAGGAAACGTCAGTCCAAGTGAAAAATGAAGTGGGTCCTGATAAAGCACAACAGCGCCACCTCAAGTCCGACCCTATCGCAGCAGCCTTCATTGGCGCTGAAAACGGTCAGGCTTGGCCACTGAGCTTGATTAGTCCCACCCGGGGACAATCACAACACGGAGTTTTTGCTGGGCGTACCAAATAGTTTGACCACGGCTATGACAAAAGGAAATTGATAAGGAATAAGTGGAAATAAAAATCTCAGATCAAGGGCCCTGACCAGGGTGGCTCAGCTAGTTAGGTGTCATCCAACAAAGCAATAGGTCACTGGTTCGATTCCCGGTCAGGGAACATACCTGGGTTGTGGGCCAGGTCCGCAGTTGGCGTGCATGCAAGAGGCAACTGATGGGTGTTTCTCTCCCATTCCCCTTCCCCTTTCTAAAAATAAATAAATAATATATTTAAAAAAATCCCAGAACTAGGTAACCAATCATTAGCATATACTTTCTAAATACACACTGGGCTCTACTCTAGGAGCACAGAGGTGAGCACAGGAGTCATCTTACCTGCCCACGTGGAATTTACAATCAAAGGAAACACTAAAAAAAAATGAAGGAATTCCAAATTAGATATTAACACTTAAAACAAGTTCAATTAAAGAAATGTATAGGTCATCAATAACTCGAATAGGTGACCAGTTCGTTCAGCACTGACAGAATAGCAAGCCCGAAGGGGCATCCGTCAGAACAGAAGGAGTTAGCGGGCACTGTAGTGCGGAGGGTTTAGAGACTCGGGCACTACAGTTCTCCCGTCTTCTCTATTAAAATTTTTATTTCCTTCGGCACTATTTTTAAGTTGACTAAAATGTACTAAATGTTGCTGAACTGTACATTTTTAAAGGGTTAATGGTTAAGTTTCTCTTATATAAATTTTTTTTTACTTTTAGAAAGAGGAAATGAGAGGGAGAAAGTAGGGAGAGAAACACCCATGTGAAAGAGAAACACCAGTCAGTTGCCTCTCATATGTGCTCTGACCTGCCAACCCAGGCATGTCCCCTAACTGGGAATCAAACTGGTGTCTTTTTGCTTTGTGGGAAAATGCCCAACCAACAGAGCCACATTGGTTAGGGCTTCCTTCAATTTTTCAAAATGATGACATTTCATCAGTCAATTGCTCTTCCCATCCTTTATGTCATAGCTGATTAATAAAAGCCAAATGAATGGGTTAGACCTGTACTATGTAATCTCCCACTACTCCTCCAAGCACCCTAACCTTGAGGGCAGAGATTGTGGCTTACTCATTTTTTAAAATATTTTATTTATTTATTTTTTTAAGAGAGGGAATGGAGGGAGAAAGAGAGAGAGAGAGAAACATCAATGTGCAGTTGCTGGGGGCCATGGCCTGCAACCCAGGCATGTGCCCTGGCTGGGAATCGAACCTGCGACACTTTGGTTCACAGCCCACACTTAATCCACTGAGCTATGCCAGCCAGGGGTGGCTTACTCATTTTTGTATCCTGCAGCATCCTAGCTTATTGCTAGATACCCATTCTGATGATACACAGAATTCTGCTAAAAAAATCTTGTTATTATTAAGGAGCCATTATAAGCTACAACCTCTAAAACCTAAGGACTTTATAATTTCTGATAGAGAAAACCCTGGAAATAGCAAGATACAGAAACAGCTAAGTACGTACATGCAAAATAGAGTGCTAGTTGAACAGAAGATGTAAACAGGAGGTACTACTCATTACACTCACGAATAAGGTGGTTGGAAATCTGATATTTTTCTTTTCTCCCCAAGTGTTCATTCCCTTATCATTTCAACTATTATCTCTGACCATATTTCTGGCCCTCTGACTAATTTTCAGCCATGTTTCAGCCCCCCCATCCCTGTCAGATGGCTATTTCTGCTTAGTACTAATTCAATAAGCATTTAAGAGTGCTCATTCTCTGCTCTGCTCATGTTAAGTACTGAACAGCAGGAAGTCACACTAAATATACACCGGGGATCCCTTCATTCTACAGTTTCCTCCACATGAACCTTTACTAGATCCTGCTTTCCTCTAAACTCCTGTAACAGCCATCCACTCACGTGTTATTTAATTTCTCTTACACAATTCTGCATTTCTAAGGGGTCCCAGCTTGAAATCTAGTGGAGTGAATAGTCCTAAGATCTATTTATATGAAGCAATCCCTTGGAAATCATTTATTATAAAGCAAAACAAAAAAATAAGAGTCAGAGCTTCAAGGCTTTGCCAATAACAAGGGTAGCTTGGTGTCCAGCATTATGTCTGCCTCTTAGAGTCCTTTGGCCAAAGCCTCATGACCTATAACTGAGTCCTAAGGAAAGGAGACTATAAGTACAACTGGTAGAGTTATTTCACACACAAAAACCCAATAAGCCAAAAACAAAGGAACAAAAAACCCTACATTAAACCTTGGATAACATCGCTTTGGAACTATTCCAAAGGAATTTACCACAAATAGGAGGCAGATGATTCTTCCAACTTTATCTGAAAACACAGCTCAGCTTCACCACAGGTGGGCAACAGGGGCTCCACAGAATGCTGGGCCTACCTGCAAGGCTTCATGTCACCAGGAAACAGAGCGACCTTGATGGAAGCTGTAAGTAGATTCAGCAGCAGTGCCCAGTGCCTGCACAGGGCTTCTAAGGCACTGAGAGAACAGTAGACAGCAACAGAGCAGGAAATGGTGAACTCTATGTAAGACCTGGGATTCGGGTGGGTGAAAATCTATGAGGTGTTCCACTGCCTTGAAGACTCCCAGGGACAGTTGAGGAAAGGGTTTTCCAAAGAAACTAGAGGTTCTGCAACCAGCTAAAGGCAGAGACAAGAGAACATGGACTATCCCTCTTGGTACGCCCTCATGTTTACTCCAGCTTAAAGGATTGCTGATTATGGGTATATAACTTTCCATGTACATGTCGTTTCTTTTTACATTGTGTCTTGGTTTTCTGTTGCTGATACAAGTTATGACCAACTTGGTGGTTTAAAACATACAATATTATCAAAAATGTCATGCTTTGGGATATTATACCAACCATATGCTCCACTACTTTCTTTCTTCCCCTTTTTCTCCCTTCCCCAAGATTCTCAGAACCATTCACTGTAATTTAGAAACTACTGATTTACATTTAGTTTCCACAGCTTACATCAACATGGACATGTGGACCTTGCTGTGCCTCAGGTTCTCACTCATAAAATAAAGAGGGTGGGATAAATTAGCCTCAGATCCTTGCCAAGTTTCATATTCCCTGGTTCTCTAGTCCTTGAACACAAAATCTCATCTGGCCCAAAGTCATGCCTCCTGAAGCCACTCACCAGAGCAGGACATCTCTGACAGGTAGACATCAGCTCTGTCTCAACTTTATCAGTGCCCAAGCCCTGCTACCAGGCAGGCATTTTATTCACAAAGCTGATTGTCAGAAATGTTTGCCTGTGCTAAGTAAAAAGTATGACTTAACAAGTCTAACTCAAATTTATTCATTTGTGAAATGGAGATGAAAAATATCTACCCCAGAAAGTTGTTGATTAGTTCAAATAATATACTTGAAGTACTTCTCAAAAAGCAAAATCATTACAGAAATAATTGCCATATTGTTATTATCTGATAATGTTAATAATAATCTTACTTGTGTATACTTGCACAATGTATGGTAGGTTATAAATTTATCTTTGAATAATTTTCATATTCCAGTCCCCTTAGGGCATAACATTAAAAACAATCCTGAATCAAACCTCTGACATGCATTTCTGGTAAAATTATTGAGATAAGTTCAACTACAAGTTAATTTTTAAAAATTCTACCTACCTCACTGATAATAGTAAAAAGAAGGTTTTACTAAATGCCATTAAATAATTCTGTAAAGATTGGTACTAATTAATTCATAAACACTCTCCGAATATAATTTTCCAACAAGTTACTTATCTCCCTAAGGGGCTATAAGCTTCAAGCTGAGTACCACAGCTTGGGTAATTGCAAATTAGAAAGCTTCGAAATGTTGCATCCATTCTTACTTTTTTCAGCCTATTCCACCCCATCAAATGGCATCAACTATAGTCCTTTTTACCTTTTTTTAAAATTTGTTGTTCAGTGACAGTTGTCCCACCTTTTTCCCCATTGCTCACCCCAACCCCATCTCTCCCACTCCACAGTCTCTCCTCTCCCATTGTGTGTGCTCATGAGTCTTCTATTCCTGTTCCTTTGCCTGCCCCTCCCTCCACCCCTCTGTTCACTGACAGTTTGTTCTTTATTTCCAAGTCTCTGGTTTTATTTTGCTCATTTGTTTGTTTTGTTGATTAGGTTCCACTTACAGGTGAGATCTTATGGTATTTGTCTTTCACCACCTGACTTATTTCACTTAGCATAATGGTCTCCAGTTCCATCAACACTGTTGTGAAGGGTAAGTACCTCCTTCTTTCTTTCTGCTGCATAGTATTCCATTGTGTAAATGTACCAGTTTTTTGATCCACTCACATAACTGATAGGCACTTAGGTTGCTTCCAGCACTTCACTATTGTAAGTTGTGCTGCTATGAACATTGGAGTACATAGGTTCTTTTGAATTGGTGATTCAGGACACTTAGGGTATAATCCCAATAGTGGTATCACTGGATTGAAAGGCAGTTCCATTTTCAGCTTTTTAGGAAATCTTTTTACCTTTTAAATCTCTATCATCCCTCTTTCCTCTTTTCCATCATTGAGTTCACGCCCTCTTTTCTTGCCTGAACTTTGATAATAAGCTTCTCACTGGCCTCCATTCTTTGGTCTCACTGTCCCACTAATCTTTCACATTGCTGTCAGAGCATCTCCAAAAGCAAGTCCTACCATGTAAAGATTTTTTAAATCTATAAATTATTGCAGAATAAAATCTCTTAATGACTGCACATCTCCATAAACA